CTCTGGTCATGATCTCATGGTTCATGAGTTCAGGTCCCACATTGGGCTCTGTACGGACAGCTCAGAGCCTGGAGCCTGCGTCAGATTCTGTGCCTCCCCCTCTCTCTGCCCTCCCCTGCTCACACTCTATCTCCCTTTTTCTCAGAAATAAATAAACATTTTTTTTAAAAAAAGGAGTAAGGAAGAACCTTCCAGTATGAAAGCTGAGCTTTACTCTAGAAGGAAAAAAAAAAAAAATCACCACTCTAAAGGTTACAATTGACGCCTTGGGTAAGTAGTACTACTTGTCATGTTATTTGATATCTCTTAGGCAGTGGCGGACAATGCCGGGGTTTTCTTCATGGCCTCATCTCCAGACAGCCTGAAGAGATGGGAAGGGAACCACCCAGGCAACACACAGGCCAGGTTCTGCTGGTGCACAGCTCAGCCCTCAAGAGGGGATTCCTCTGCAGTAATCAAATACCAGCTAAAATCAGATTTTGAAAGGTAAAAGAAAAAGGAAATTATGAAAGAATTATGAAGAAATAACTCGAGGCATATTATTAAAGAGGCAGAAGAAAGAAATAAGGGCATGAGTCGGAAAGGTGAGAAAGCAAATGTTATCACACCCTTCAAATACACCTGTGAGCACACACACACAAATTCTGTGCACCAAAGAATACGTTTACATATGCCTTACTCTCACTTTTCCAACTTGTAGAGAGATGAAACAGATTTCAGTCTCATTATTCTTCACATTTTAAGGACTATCAAAATCACACCTGGCATGATCTGTAAATTCACCTGTGTGAAGACGGCTGCATTCAAACTCCACATTGAATACATTAGCTTCTAAAAATACACAGGTCGGCTTAAGATTTAAAGGGAAAAAAGTAGGTTACACTTGTACCCATACAAGTCTGCATGACTCAGAGTTTAATAATAGGATGCATAAGATGTCACCCTTAGGTCACTGATTCTAGGGTGGCTATAATAGACTGTCATTTTAAGACATCACCATCTAACAGCTGTTTTGTTCACAATCTGTAGAAGCAATGTGTTGCTTGTCTCTATTAATACTCATCTGACAGGTGTGTACATTCCAACTCACATGCACCTGCCAGTTGGGAGCTCTTTGAAGCAGAGTGATGAAAGCCACAGCAGCTGTTACCTTTAGACAGTGCCTAGCACATCCAATTCTCTCTTTATCTAAAGGGCTAAATAGTAATACTTCATATTATAACAGATTTTACTGTCTGAAACCAAAATCATAAAGGAAAGATATCAATGGAGGATTTCTGAAATAAGTGCAATAATCGTTCTCTGAAACAAAAGAAGCAACAATCTTTCCTCCTAGGAAGATGTGGTAGATGCCAAATCAGCTGCGGAAGTTAACATTTACAACGCCTCTGTGACCTGCAGGAGACTTATAGACATCCCCAAACTGTGCACCTTAGCCATAGTCAGACATGCATACACAGGTCACCAGGAAATGCTTCTAAAATGTATGCATCAACGACTTATGGATCCATGCAATATACACCAGTGTAACTTCCACTATGTGTGTCATGGTGCTCTAGAGCCTCCAAGTCAACACCTATGTAGTGGCAAAGATTATAATTTATCAGCTCCACCTTTCACAATGGCAATTGAAAACTGGATGGTACACACTGAACTGTAAAGTCATTCCACTTACGAGGGGCTCCCTGCAGCCCAGTCATGGTGACGACTGGAGAAGAATTATGTTTCGAGACATAAAACTATTATTTTGAAAGCACAGTGTGTAGGTATTTAAGTCATGACCTAATTTGCTTTCTCTGTACTGAAATAATGACCACATCTAGTCATCCGCCTTTGTTACATATTCAGTCCAGGGCACTAAATGGAAATAAGACTTACGACTTACCATCTAAAACTCTGTGTCCCCACCTTCCAAGCTCATACCTTCCTTCAAAGAACTCAGCCTCTCCTTTTAGAAGAACATTAATTTAACCAGGCAATATTCCAACTCACATTCAGTATGTATTTTTAATGCATGTATAAAATCCTTCATAGAAAATCACCTTTATTCTCTTAAATGAGGTCAAATAATGCACTATTTGACACAAACTCAAAAACTAGTAAAAAATATCACTAATAACTTTTTATTTCAGATGCATCATTTTATTTTAAAAGGTCTTAAGAGCCCTGCAAATTCGGGTTTAACAGATTTTAATCTGTCAAACCCATGAGAGTTTATAAAATGAGAAAGAAAGCACTCAGTGTGCCCTTTTGATCTAGCTCAGTAAGGCAACAAAATAACTCTGCAGTTTAATTTTGTTTTGCTTCAGAACTGGCATGTCATTACAGGTCATGGTCTGCAAGTCTATTTCACTGATGAGGAAATTAAGGAATGGAGAGGTTACGTGACATGGAAACATAGACCTTTTGAGTAGAAGTGACCTTAGAATTAACACAGACCAGAAATACTACAACCACAAGCCTATATTTTTATCCAACTGGGGAAAAATGCCATTTTCATATAAGCTAAAAGTTCATTTAAAGAATCTTTAATTCTAACTTTCATAGAAAACTTAGTAAACTTATTATTTTTGTCTACTTTAAAACTGTCTTTTGTCTTAAACATGAAGAAGCTCAGGGTAGAATTCAGTACACAAGTAGAATATCACCTTCTGACTATGGTTACTGGGGGTAATCTCATCCTGTCTTGGTCACTCAGCTCTTCAAAAATTTGGTAACTATTAGCTGACCATCTGGCATATGTCCAACAGCATTCTAGGTGCTAAAGACATAACAGTGAACAAATCACATGACAAATCCTGTCTTCATGGAAACAAATTACGTAAGTATGAGAGTAGGGTAAGGCCAAACTTGAAAAAGAGTGGTCAGTGAAGGCCATTTGGATGACATTTGCCTACAGATCTGAAAGAGAGGAGTGAGGGGAGTAAGCATGAAAAGGGAATGGTATCTAGGGAGCTATTCTAGACACAAGGAACACCAAATGCAAAAGCCCTGGGGTGGAAGCATGCCTGGCCCGTAGGACTCGCTTATCCTGTTTAATATTTTAAATAAAGTATGTTTTTTTTTTTTTTCTTTACTGAAAGGTCTGTCCAATACTTTGGAAGAAAATCAGGGACATACATACATCCATAATTACTGCAAACAAGTTTCAGATACTGTGTCACTTGAGATAAGTTTCTTGTGTTTGCGTACTATAATGACACTGCACTCACCCTGCCACCCTTCTGCTCCCCATTCCTTCTCTTCTCCATTAGAGATCAACATGTTGATTTCCTACAACTTACGGAGATTAAAAATAAATCTGCTTTGGGGAAAAGGCCCACCTTAAGGAAATCAAACCACAATGCAACCCACACAGACTACACACCTTGACCTTCTAAACCTACCGGCATTTGTATTCAGCCTCTAAGTGCTACCTGGTACTGTTACTCTGTTTACATCTCATTATACGCTACCTTGTATTGTTCCTGTATACACATCTGCTCTCACAGTGGCTTCCTTGGAGCAGAGCCCATATTTGGAGACTGTCTGAATCCCACCCCAGGGATCTGCACATGGATGGCACCAGTATCTGTTTGCCCATGATGTCATAGAAACTACCACATGAGAGCAGACATTCCTCCCGTTTTAAATATCTGTTTGTGGATAAAGCATAAAAGAGACGTCGGTCTCTTGCAGGCGTTTGGATAATCGCAACCATCTTGGCTAAGTTACTGTTTGTGTAACATTCCATTCTGTTTAAGTTTCCCTTTGCATTTTTCGGTTGGGCACAGTACACACACTTTCAGTCTAGACACCAGCATGGATTAGCCACAAAACACAGAGGAACCACACTGTGTGGAATCCTGTTCGGTTCACTTGAGCCAATGTTATTAAACGCTATTACTGGAAAGGGACTCAGCATAAAACTATCAAGCACAAGGACTACAAGACATTGCCCATACAATCTGGCAAAACAGACAGACACATAAGGAACTTCAGTGCATGCAAGACACGCAGAAGTATTTTGAAAGTATATAAGCAGTGACCCGGAAGGTGAGGTAAGGCTTCCCAAAAAGAGCTGGCACCTGAAGAGCCAAGGGTTTTGAAAGATGAATAAGCCGAGGACAATCAGACACGGGATCAAAGGGCACTCCAGACTGTGCAAAATACTGGCAGAAACGTAACAGACTGAAAACTGCTGGAAGAACTCATTCACCATCAGTGAAGGAAAGCTGGTCTATTGCACGCTTAAGCTTTCCAAGAAAAAAACAAGCTTTCAAATAAGGAGCTGAGGAAGAAAGTCTCACCACTGCTTGTTTTGTTAAGCCTCTTAGCCTTGCTTTGCTTTGTTTTGCTCTGTTTTGTTCCCTCTTAAAGAAATAAAGTACTGTGCTGGCATAAAACTTCAGTGAGGAAAAGTACTTCAACTTTACTGTGGAATAATAAAACGGGTAAGTAGGCAAGGGCCAAGGAATGAATAAACGAATGAATGAATAAATGAATGAAAAAAATAAATAAAACTTTTCTGGAATATATAAATGGAGCAAAATTTAAAATTCAGGCATCGTGGACGTGAAATATTAATTCCAACAATTCCAACCCTTCTTCTCACTAACTTAATACGTACATACAATCTTTTGTGCCCACTAAATGTGTTAGTCTTGGGGATACCAGGCCTCTGAGGTACTCTCATTGCCCTCCTTTTTGAGTGAGCTCTGGCTTGCAATTTAGTAAAAGAAATAAGCAGAGGACAATTCAGTGTAGCCTTTTCTCCACGGTTGCCAACTAAAGCCTGAAGCTCATGCAGAGTTAAATTCCCGTCAAGTTAGCCGTGAGGTCAAACGCTCTTAAATAGTAATTACGACAACTGAGATGTGAGAAACTGACAAAGGTCCCAGGTAGAGGCGTCTCATCACCTCTTCCTGCGAGCCGGGAGCTGGCAAGCTTGTGGAGGACTGCCTCGCCAGGGGTTCGAGATGCTGAACGAGGAAAAAGGGGACAGAAGCGGGTAGAGTTACCTGGGAGCTCAGGTAGACTTTGAGGCACTCCTCGCACACGGCCTTCTTGCAGCAGGGCAAGGGCTTGATGGGCTTGTCTTCCAGGCACACCCGGCACATCAGCACCATGAGGGGCACATAGGCATCCCCTACCCCACCCAGGTCGGAGTAGGGTGGAGCTCCCAACAGGCTGGGCACGGAGAAGGGCTCGGGCGCCAGGTAGAACTCCAGCTCGATGCTGCCGCCGTCGGGGGACAGGGGATCCGTCGGGAGGGACAGCCGGGGGCTGGGGATGGAGGTGGGGGTGCTGGGGGCGTTCGTCACCGGCGGAGCCCGAGGTGAAGATGCGGGCGGCGACGGCTGCTCCGCGGTGGGGGCCTCGGGCAGGTCGTTCTCCACGCAGAACACGGAGCAAAAGACTTGTCTCTTGGCGGGGATGGGACGCCGCTGACCCAGCACGTCCAGGACCAGTTCGTCCGCGGCCCCTACGCGGGTCCCGGGCTCCGGCTCTTCGCCCGGGGGCACATCCTGCAGTTCACGCCCTCCCTCTCCCCGGCCCTCGGCTCCCTCCTCCTCTTCCAGCTGCTGTTGCAAAGTCCGGGGGTTGAGGGGACCCGTGAGTGCCAGTCCCGCGGGCTGCGCGGGCGCTCGGCTCTTCCTCGCGTCCGGGGCCCCCCGGCTCCTCGCGGGCGCCGGGACGCCGGTGTCCGCGCAGCCGGTGTCCGCGCAGCCGGAGTCGCTTCCGCAGCCACCGCCGCCCGGCTCCGCGGAGGCGGCGCGCGGCCCCGGCGCCCCGGCGCTGTCCGCCCGCGGCCTCGGGGGCCCGGGGGGGCCCGTGGCGCCGCCCGCGGGGGCCCGCGCCTCCTGCGGCCCGCCGCTGCTCACCGTGCTCTGCTCCTCGCCCATCGCCGCCCGCGGCCCGCGCCGCCGCCGCCCATCCAGCCGCCGGGACCCCCACCCGGCGCCGGCGGGCAGCGGGGGCAGCGGCTCGGCTCGACTCGCGGCTCCGCTTCTGCTTCCGGGTCCCTCCTCCGGGGCTGGGACGCCCCGAGCTCCCTCCGGGGAGCCCGTGCTCCCGGGCCGCGGCAGGCAGGGAGCCCGGCCCGCTCCGCCGCTCCTCCTCCTCCTCGTCCTCCGGCGCGGCCGCGGACCGCCTCGGGGGCGCTGAGGGCCGCTCGCTCCGGGCGCGGGCGCGCCCGCCCCTCATGCAGGTTGGGGCGGCGCCGGGGCCCCCGCGAGCCCCCGGGCGGGGCCGAGGGTCCGGCGGGAGGCGGCCGTCAGTCTCGCGCCATCGCGGGTCCCGGCTGAGGGCCGCGCGGGACGGGCGGCGGGAGGGCGGTGGTCGGAGGGTGCAGGGGCCTGTGGCGCCGCCGCGGCGCGCCCCGGGAGGTGCAGCCGGAGCGCGAGCGAGCCCCGCGGCCCCGGGGGCAGAGGCCAGAGCGGGCGACCTCCCTCTGCTCCGGCTTCACCTAGAGCCCTCCTCGCTGCCCCGCTCCCCACCCCTCTGGCGCACACCTCCCCACACGTACACACGCGCGCAGGCACCCGCGCACACACTCACACGCACACCCCGAGTGGGTGTGATCTAAGCGCCGAGATGCGCTCTCGCGCCCAGAGTTCACACTCGGCCTCAACAAAACCCTTCAGAGCAGGCAGGCTGCCTGCCTTTCGGGCTACGCGTGAAATAGAACTTCCTACGGAATCGCCGTGTGCTCCGAGCAGAAACTAGAAAACACTGGCTAACTTGGGGGTTTGGTTTCTCTTGGGCCTGTCCAGTTTTAAATCCTCCAAAGAGGGAGTGCAGAGAAATAACGCTGGGGTGTTATTTGTTCAAAACGCTACATGTATTAACTCTGCTTTCTGTCTGTTGAGGTCGGAAAGATCTTTGAAACCCACAAAGAAGCCGAACGTACTTTTAACCTACTCCAACTGGAATCCTTATGAGAGCTGGCAGACAACTGATTGAAGTCTTATCCCTTTTTCCTCCTCTTCAGGGTTCCTTACGAACTTTTTTTAACCCTTAAATATTCCAGAATAGGTAGCACAAGGTAGCAAGATGGCCTAGCCTAATTAATAAACTGGCTCATTGATGGGAATCTGGAGGAGTTAGTTACATTAGCATAACCGTATTTATCTCCAAAACTGTTTCCAAGACAACAATTACATTTGAGCCAGAACCTAATTATGTGTTGATCTATCTATATTTTACAGGAAGCATTAGTCACCCAGACTGGTGTGTTTTAGTTCCCTAAAGCCAATGAAAACATTTTGGGGAAGCCAGCCCTTGTTTTTTCGTCTTGAAAGGGAATTCAGTTTACAAGTCCATGTAATAGGAAGAGTTGTGAAGTGTGTAGCATTTATCTTGAAGTTGTTATTGGTTTGTTCTAAAATATTTCCCAAACCAGTTACAAATGCTAGAAAGGCATTACCAAGATACCTTGGTATTCATGCAATACCAAGAAAGCAGTGGAACGCCAAAGCACATTTCTATCCTTTGTGTCTGATGCTCAGTAGCACCCTAGCGGGATGAATCCAATCAATCAGTGGAAAGGCCACCTCATTTATCAGTCTGTCCCAAGAAAGAATTCTTACTTGGAAGGATAAATGCTATTCAAGGATTTTTCCTCCCATTTTGGCTAGTTTCCTGTTAATTACTGTTTTCTCCAAATGATACCTCTAGCGTTTAATGTTCTAAAGAACAGAGAAGCTACATGTATGTGCCTTTTAGGCATGCCATCTGATAACTATTCCTCTATTCTTTCAAAAGAGATACAAAAGTAATCTGTGTTTTCCAGGTGGCAACAGGCTAAGAGTAAGACCAGAGTAATAATAATAATGAACTCCAGAGTGTCTATAGATATCAAACACCTTAAGTTTCTCCGATAATTTGGGGGCTCTTTCCCCCATACGTATTTGTCATAGGTGTTCCAAGAACTGATTCTTACAGTCCCCACCGCCTTGTTCCTTAACTCTCAGGCCTCAGTTCACAGGAGATGGCTTTTCTTGCCACTGAACCAACTAGAAATTACTGCTGGAAATCCTGAAGGCTTCCCCAAATTCTCAGCCCTTCTTGCCATGACTTCATTTTGATGGGATGCATCCATCTTTGTGAAAATAGATCTGTGGCATGTCATATCTTCCCCCTCCAGACAGACTCAGACTTGCCTAAATCCTGGGCTCAGCCTCCCTGGTGTTCAATCTGGAATACCGGCAGCATGGAAATGAGTTAAAATGCAAAGTTAAAATTCTGGTCAAACCATCAATTTCCCCTGAAGTGAAATGCCTGAAGCACCTATAATGATTGTGATGACAGGATTCACTTTTTTAAAAGGATTGGTTGAAAATATGGTCACCATAGCATAAATTGCACTTATCTACCACAAGCTTAATATTCTTGTAACCTAGACATCTGCCCTGCATCAGACTGTGTACAGCTGTTAGTGGAACGTAAGTACTATCTGCCACTACCACTTCTATCTCTCAATATTTTCTAATCTGTGATGAGCTGTGCACCTTCCCTAAAGCCAAGACTAACATTAAAAGCTGCTTTTGGTCATTATTAAACATTTTTTTATTACCTACTTTTATTATCCTGGCCTTTAAACATGACTTATTTTCAGATCCCTTGAAAATTTTTATTCAGATATTAATTCAAACATTAAAAATCCTAGATTTATTAACTTATTAGAAAAAATGTGAGATGGCAGAAGAGCTGTGTGATTCATTTTAACTTTACGTATTAAAGGTAAAACTAATTCCTTCTTGCCTGTCATGGAAAAGAAATATATAACATTTAAATACCATAAAATAATTATCCAGAAAATACCTGACTTGTTTCTCCATCTGTCTTTCAACTATCCAAACAAATTTTTAAAACAAATTCATTTCCTGAAGAGGAATAAACAGGATGGAATGGTCTACTAGGTGTGTTTCTGAAAGACACAGTTGAGTATTAGTCCTTACTTTCCTGTTCTCTCCTCTTCACCCATGGAGGGAGAGAACCTGGATTCATTAAGAAAAAGAGCATCAAGAAGAAAAAAATGGGACACAATTGTTTCCCTTTCTTTTTCCACCCTAAATTCCCTAAATTCAAATAGTAACCTTTTGTAAGATGAAGTTAAAAATAAAACAAAGCAATGCATTCCTTATCCTTATAAAATAAAAGCCTAAATGCTTGTAATATAGAGGAAACCAAGAATAAAAAGGAAGCCAAGGTGGGGTGGGAAAAGGAAGAAAGGGAGAAAAGTATGAAGGAAGGAAGAAAGGAGGGAAGGAAGGAGGGAAGGAAGATATGAGAGGAAGAACTTCAGCCAATACTACCCAAAATAGCTACTTTCATGTATTGAGATATTTCATTCTAGTGTTCGCATCTGTGTGTATAAAAATATATTACACAGTATATTCTCTTTTCTTTAAAAAAATAAAAAACTTAGTAATATATCCTGAATATTTTACATATAATTAAAACATGTGTACGTCATCATGATTCATGGCTATATAAAATTTTGCTACATACACGCATCACAATTTATTTAATCAATTCTACTTTATCTTAAAAATTAGATCATTTATGCTCTCAAGAGATAAAACACTTAATATAGGTTAATATTTCTGATATAACCTTTGTTACATCCCTAATCTACCATAGCATAAGTCCTAAAATTAAATTGCTTCGGAAAAGGGTAGATGTACTTTTGTAGCTTTTCGCACGTATTATCCCAGAAATTCAGCACCAATTTATAGTCCCGTCAATAGTGAGCCAATGAGAGAGTCTACTCCCCTAATCATTCTAAGAATACTTTTAAAAATTCAGAATGCTGTAAATAACATCTCGCCTTTTAATGAGTATATTCTTTAAAATAAAAAAGGACAAGATCAAATATTCACTGTCGCTTCTCCCTTGGATATTTACAGTCTAGCTCTATATTGTTACGATTCTCTATTCCCGAAACTATGGTTCTGACAACTTCCTTTCCTCATCTTATTTTTGAATTTCCTCTTTAGCCTTCCAGTGACAATAGTGGTCTAAAAACATGCAGAGATAATCTCAGTCATCATTAATCGTTCTAAATCCAGAATACCAATCCCTACTTTCCAAAATACAGATTTATTAAGTGCACAAACTCATTTCCAAATGAGTATTGTACTGAGGAAATCCTATCTCTCTACAATGTGGAAGCTCTTTAAATTAAGACAAAAAAGAGATCCACTGACAAGGCAAAATTGACCCTTCCTGAACAGAGCACCAGTTCCCTGCTCACTGAAGGAGTCACCAAGACCTTGCATTTTAAGGGCAACATAAGCTTTCCACTACTGTGGCTTTGGTTTCCCAGAAAGATGTCAGCCCTTGCTCTGCATTTAGAAATCCCTAATCTCCTCTTCCCAAGGCACATAGTGACATGAATAGAGAGGCATGTTCTCTCTGTTCCTCAGCTTCTCTTTCTAAAAAGAGTGTCAAGTCACAGCCTTCCCCTGATAGGCTTTGTTTATAGCAGAAGTCGGAGAAATTTACAGCCTGGCTCCTCCCTGGCCTGGAGACTGGAATGGTTCGTTGGTTTAGTAAGCAAGAGCAAGATAAATCTCTTTTTGTACAGCCCTCAGTATCATCGTTGCTAGGTAATTCACAGGGAAGGAAATAATTTTGTTCAAACTAAAAGATAATCAAGCATCCAAGTAAGAGAGCCAAAGATGCACTTGTACAAAATGACACTTTTAGTTCTGAAGAGCAGAGATTTTCTTAGCAAGAGGAAATCTCTTCCAAGTTAGGGAAAAGGGAAAAGGTAATTCAGAGAAGATTTATTTAGAACAATGGGAAGTGCTTACAAAACTATGCTAAGTGAAAAAGGGCAAGAAAAATGTAATGTGTGACATGACGACGACATGTAGGCATGTACATTATAAAATAA